CCGGGGAAGAGGCGGCTGGGGTGCGGGGGGGGCCGGCGCCGAGCTCGCCCAGCCCCGCGTCCCCTCGGGTGGCATCGCCCGACGCCGCACATGATGGGAGCCCCCAGCTTCCTGACGCAGGGGCAGCCGCCCACCTGGAGCCCAGCCCCTGCCCTCAGGCACCAGCACCCCAGGGTCCCCTCTGCTCTGTGCCTCCCACCGTCCCCCTCCCCTCCCACCAGTGTCCCCCAGCAGCCCCACATCACCGGAGGCACTGGCTGTACCATACGTATTTTGTACTACTTCAATGAAGGAGCACACCGCCCGGTGTGACTTGTACACAGCAATGTAATTAGTCTTTGCAATAAAATACTGATGCTCAAACGTCTCTGCCCCGAGGCAGGCGTTGTCCTGTGCTCCTTCCCCAAAACGCCGGCACGGTGCTGGAGAAAGAGGAGCGGACCTGACTGGGCAGGAGGCAGCACATGGCCTGGCGCTCGTACTTGCGTTAGCTCTGCTGTGCTGAGCTTGCTTTTGTGCCTGAATGCAGGTACAGCCTTGTTGCCTGAGGGACCAGTGCCTGGTTTTAATGAACCCTGCTCATGTGAACCCGTGAGTTGTTGGGACTGTCGCATTTTCCGTTTTCGTAACTGTGATGTCCAAGTTACTGGTTCTACTCCTTTTGCTAAAAGCAGTGGCTTTAAGGGCAAATGCACTGGTTGGTCCTTATGGTCCTGCCTTGGTTTGAGCCATCGTTCTGGCGCTCGAGGGCTCATTTCCTAGCATGGCCAGCATGTTTATTTTCTGTCTTATAATTGCACAGACATCAGTGGAGATTACTTGGATGGTGTGGCGATTCCGAAAGTGGGTACTAAGGATGCAGCTGCACTATCCAGAATTTCTCTGTGCCTTTGGCTACGTAGATTAGTTTAAAGCCTGAGCTTTTGGAAATGAAGGGGCTGGATTGCACAGAGAGGGCTGGTAATGCTGTTACCTGCTCAGGCAGAATTAAACATCCGAATCACTGCGGTTTTCCCAGACAGAGGAATTTTGAAAATGGCTGGGAAATAAATGAACTCTAGGACAAGTGATTTCTGGCTGCTCTGGCCTTGGGCCTCCTGTTGCTAGAAAGCTTGGTTTCAGGTGTTTTTCCTAGCATTTCTAAGTTTAGTGTTAGTGCCTGCTCATACCTGAGCACATGTTCTCACCTGGCAGTGGTACATCCACTGCATGTCTCCTTTTTTTCCCTTGGTGCCCTGCTGCACTGCACTGAGACGGGCAAGTCCTTTGCAGAGCCCCTCCTGCCTCTGGATTCCCACCTTACCCTGGCTGGAGCCGCCCCCAGACAGACCGACCATGCACTGCCCCGCCATGATCTCTTACAGCCCCAAGAAACGCCTTTGTCCTGACTCTGCAGCCTGCGCTGCCTCGACGCAGGAGCACAACTGAGCTGTGGTGAGTGCCCACCCGAGCAGCCAGGCCTCACATGCAGCGTCCGTGTGCGTACAGCCACACACGCATACGTGTGTGGCCAGGAGCACAGCTGTGTGTCGCTGTGTGAGAGCCCTGCAGGGGCTTCTGTCGTGGGGTGGAGGCCGAACCGAAGGAAATAACTCAGTCTAACAAAACTCTAGGAGAACAAAAAAAAATGCTGAAGCCTTCACAAGCCTCACACAGGTGTGGGAGGCTGAAATCACATTAAACCATGCATTAGAGCGTATTAGCGGCCACTAATGAGAAACCTTGCACTCATAACACACTGGGGAACGCACAAGACTCAGAAAATGCCAGCAAGTCAGAACAGGACTGAGATGTGCATCAGGTAGCGAGGACAAATACACTACATCCTGCAGAAGGGAATCACTCACTGTCAGATAGTGTGTTTGCCTGCTGGCTTTATTTCCAAGGTCACCAGCAACGCTCCATGCTGAAGTCATGGCACAGTATTCTCATTCCCCTTAGAGCAGCAGAAGGGCAGCACCTGCCTTAGGGACTCCAGCAGCACCAGACTGCTCCCCCAGCACCTCCCCAGGCACCTCTTCTGTTTTCCACATGGTCCCAGCTTGGACAAGCTGCACTTCCCACACATGGAGAGATTTGGGAATGCAGCTTCTCTTTCTTGGTGGACTGCCAGCTGGTTTGGATTCTGGGCTTTCTTGGGGTTGCTTGAGGTCTTATTAGCCAACAGTTATGAAAATGTAGGCAATGGCTCCCTACCACGCCGACTGACACCCATCATCTGGCACTGCAGTCAGTGCAGAGACATCGTCGTCATTTTAGTGCAAGTTCTGCTTTCCCACATCCTGGGTACGGCGGCTGAACCTTCAGCACTCAAAGAACAAGAGCAGAGACGATTCTGTCCGAGAGCAGCCAGACTGCTCTCCGAGTTCACACATAGTCCAGAATTTCTGTCTCCATTTCATTTTCACTCCCATCAGAAGGCTTGAATTCCTCTTCCTCCTCCTCTTCATCATCCTCATCCTCTCCAGACTCATATGCCAGCTGCTCTTTGCCATCTTCGCTGCTTGTTGTACTTGAGAAAAGAGCTTAATTGGGAAGAAAGACAGACAGACACTGTGATGGCAGTTCATAAAATGAGAGGAAGGCAGAAGCCAGAGGGGCGCAGAGAATGTTGCACATCGTAACAGAATTTGATCAAGCCCAAAGCAATCTGTTTTCATACTCCAGGAACGCTCGCAGAACAGCAGCAAGTCTCCTAGCTGATTCTGCCCTAATTCACTGGGATACTGCTTTGGACCAGCATCATGCAGGACTAATTTCCTTACTTCTTGTTCAATACTTTACAGTAAAAAGTAAAATGCCACCAACAGATATATCAGTAAGAATAAGATCTTGATTCTCACAGACACAGACATTTAAAACCTGAAGCCTGTGATACCAGGAAGGTGAAACAGGAAACATTTACTCCCAGCCATTCCTAATCTCAACCCACGTTCAGTCTGCAGGCCAACAGCCTCAGCTCACACACTGTACTGAGCTAGAACACAGCAAACACCAGGTGTAGCACAAAGCAGATGGCAAACACAGGAACACTACTGCCCCAGTGCAACATCCTTCTCCAGCTCACGATGTCTCGACACCATCAGGAAGGCAGTAAGGTAGTGGTAAGGTCAGAAGCGTCCTTACCAGGTCTGGTGGATCTGATTATCTGCTTAATCATCAGAGACATGCTATCTCGCAGGTCATCACTAGTCTTTGGAAGGCACCACCCATCCCGCTCTGTGCATTCTGACTCTGTGCCGTCATTCCGATGGATGATTTTCTGTAGACTAAAAAGCAGCAAAAGGGAAGGAAACATTAGCCTTCTACATTCAGATGTAGGCTTCAAATGAGACAGTCTATGGCTTACTTCCATTTGGAATAACTTATTATGTCATTATTCACATAGTTGTCATACGGGAAAGGAAGCTTATGTGTGAAAAGTCTGCTCTATTTTTATTCAGAAGCTAAACACCTCAAGTTTCTGGTCAAGGAGAGCGAGGGGAATGGACTGGATATAAACAATAGTCCTTGAAATCTCGCTCTAACAGAAGACTCAGCTGTCAGCGTGCACTACCTTTCCACATTCAAGTCACAGAGCTGGTAGAACATCTGCCGATAAGGGGGTAAGGCTCCTTCTCGGAAAACGTAGACGGATTCCTAAGAGGAGAAAAGAAGGAAAGGATTAATACGCATTTTATGGTGTAACAGGACAGCACTGACATAACTGAAAAGTACTTCCAATGGGCTGAGTCAAGAACAAGGCACTTCCAGCACAAGTCAGTTCCAAGGCCTAGACCTGCATATGGCAAAAGATAAAGCTGAGTGAGGAATAAACCAGAATTTCATTGCAGCTACAGCCACAACAGCACAGTTGTGCAGAGAACACACTTCATCGCTTCAAACTGCAGCTCTGTCTGCAGCTTGTTACTGCCTAACAGTGGATCACAGGTTTCGGTCTACCAAGAAGGGAAAAATAAAAGACTCCTGTGTTAAATAACTTACTTTGCCCCGCTGGATTCTGCAGGACAACCAGATAAACACATGGTGATGTTTTGTACTTCAGTGCCCATGAAGTTCCAATTTTATCAGTTGAAACAAAATGCTCACTGCATCAAAGATGGGCTGAGAGTACCAATCCCATCTCACAGCGTGTAAGAAATCCATTCAGTGCACGGCAGGTGAAGTTCTGTAGTGACACGTGCAACCATCAGCTTCCCAGGTGAACCTGAGGACATCAACTCCCAACTGTCCCCTTAAAGACTGACAAAACAGGAAACACTCCGTCTTCACTAAGCTAGTTCAAGATTCTGGTAAAAGAGTGTAATGCTGACCTTCAGTTTATACCTGCTGGAGGCAGGCTTTTTTGCCCCGGCTGCACCAGATGTACCAAGCCCCTGTTTCAGATCGTGTACACTGACTGTGTGACTTACTGAAAAACAACAAAAAGAGAGTCCTCATTAGGAACATCTTTTACACTGTGGCATTGCACTGTCACTTCTCGATGTTGATTCAAGTTTGCTGGTCAGCAAAAACCAGCCCAGCAGAGCATGTATTGGGCATTCTTCAGAGATATTACTGGACAGTCACGGGAAAGGTGGTGAGTTTGGTGGGTCTCTTCCACAGCACACTTGTTGTTAAATTTAAACTTTTACTCTCCCCTTACTCCATGCTGCATCGTCACCAAACAGAAGGGAATGCTGAACTCCCACAGAGCTGCTTGCAGAACTCCCTTTTGTCTGCTAATAGAGATTCTGGCTCAGCCAGACACGCATCTAAGACTCTCACAACACTTCCCACCAGGTGACTCTTCTACCGGCTTTAAGAGCAGCACCATATTCTAACCAGAAATAAAGCACCAACTTTGGCTCAGCTGGAACATGGGAAGACCCTTCCCCACTCATAGGACAGGATGACCCAAAGCAGCAGAAGAGCCAGACAGCCCTTCTGCTGGCACAGCATACCTGGCTTCTTGACAGTGATGGGCAGACTGTAGTTATAGGTGCTGCGTTTTGCTTTCACGGGCATGTCATTAGGGGCGTAACCTAGAGGTGAAAACAGAAGACCAATAATGAACCGAGGGCAAGCACCCCGCAGAACATCCCTAGCTCAGTAACAGAAGTGCTGGACTGGTGTGCGAAAGGCTGGCTGATCCTTGGGGTACAGGGACTCCAGCAAGGTGGGGAGAGGAGAGCTGTCAGCTCAGCAAACCCCTTTAACCTGGGAAGAGGGGGAGATGTGACCTGATGGTAACGACTGGATGCCAGCTCTGTCATGGACTTAGTAGGTGGCCTCAGAAAGCCCTTTCCTTCAACTTGCCCTCTGCAAAATCAGAGCAGAGTCTGAGACCAAGCGCCCTGCACAAGATGTTGAGGTCTTTGAGGAAAAGCTACTGTGCAAGCAACAGTATCTAGTGCTCAGTGCCTCCCCTGAGCAAGAGGGAAGCTGCTCTGCTACATCTGCCTGGGCTTCGAACACATGGAGGAGGAAAGGGTTTGGAATGTGCCAAATGAAAAAAGACATACTGCGTACTGTGAAACAAAGGAGTTTACAGGAGAACTACTGTAAGCAATGAGCTCAAAAGGTGTCATCTTCATCAGAGCAGAAATGTGGCAAAATAGTTTAAAACTAAGTAAAAAGAGAAGTACTACCAGGATTAACCAGAAAGCAGAGAGAGCGACTCTGTGGGCTGGGCCCTTTTACCATATTTCATTCCACAGCGAATGCGGAAGTCCAGTACTTGATAAATCTTTGCTTCAGAATGTTTTCTGGGGTCGTACCCAAACCTAACCCATAAGCTTCTCCAGGGACCTGTTAACTGCATAAACACATATAGGGGAAGATGGTTACAAAAAAACAGTTCAGTGTTGCATAGTAGAAAATTCTAGTATTTCTTCTCGTTGCCCAAAGATTATTTCTTTTAACAGCGTCTTCCTCACTTGCCACGCCAGAACTCAAATACTGAAACTTGGGTGCTCAATGCATTGAAACCCAACTAATTGTGTGCTTTGACAAACTAACCTGCAAGGTCACAATAAAGTGTTTGTTTGGAGAAATTGTGCTACCATTGCCAGATGGACAGCCACTTTGAGAGTCTGGCTGAACCACAAAGCCAATCAGAACCCACAGAGTGACCAGCTACTGAATCGTCCGTGGTTTCAAATTCTGTTCAAAAGCAAGTCTCCCCTTCCCTCTTTCTCTTTACATAACATTAAGCTCAGGTACTCAGTGGTGGGACCTCAAGAACTGTAAAGAGCCAGGAACACTCCGTGCAGCCTCAGACAGGCGCCAGGGCAGCTACAGACTCACCATGTAATAGGCCAAATATGGCAGCAGAAGCTTCAGCTTGTCCGGGTGGACACTGATGTTGGCTTTTACTGCATTCCGAGACCAGACAGGACGGACTTCAAAGAGCTAAAATAATCCAGAAACACCATGGAAACAGTGGGAAGTGGGTTACTAATGGCAGGTCAGCTTTCCAAGTGAACTTTCTTCTGTACTGGGGCCTTTGGCCCTTAGTATGAGCTATCAGAATGGTAATGTAAGAAATAGTGTCACAGAAACGAACTTAACGTGAGTTGGCTGCAAAGACAGGTTCAAGTCTTGGCTTGCGTAACTGAACTGAACACAGTGGTGTCAGTGGCATCTACTGATAGGTGCTGTGTTAGTCACTTACAATCACCAGGAATTTTGGGGGAAGTCAGAGAAAATGGCTGCATGCATTTTTTTCCCCACGCAGTATGCTGCAGTATAGTGCTCAAGTCAAGAATCAGGCACGTACCTTTCTCAGCTCTTCCTCCACCTTTTTATCCACAGTATTGGTGCACACTTTCTTCCAGGTCTGTTCAGCGGCATCCAGGGGTTTAGCTGGGATTTCTTCATCATCAAAGTTCACAAAGATGGCGTTGTGTGGGCGACGGGCCCTGCAGAGCCCAATCAGGTTCTCCCCTGACACCTGGGGATTGTTGTAGCCCTCCCTGAGGAAGAGGGAAAGGGTCGGGTTTGCTTCCTGCCTGCGGCACGCACGGACGTGGGGCCTTCACGGGAACATGCGAGAATGGAACTTTGTGCTCCAGATTTCGGAAGAGAAGGGACTCAGCCGTGTGAGCAAAGGGTTGGTTTATCTTTGGCCCCATCTCCCTATGGATTTTGGAATCACACACTGGTACCATAAAAGAATCCTGGGATACCACCAAGGAAAAAAAATTTAAATTCAAAAACTTTGCAAAGCTCCATGCAATTGCACAATGACAGAGGTCCCTGTACCGTCTGACAGAACCCTCGGGCAGTTGGCTACTGATCAGTATGAAATGTTTCTGCAGCAGAAAAGGCTTCACCTTCTCTGGGTTTGCTCTGCTGTAATTACTGCAGCTCGGCAGGGTACAGGGACAAAGCAAGATGGAAACACAGTTATTAATTCAAGCTAGAATTAAGACCAAAAAAAGGGCCGATGAAGGACTACAGTGAGAAAAGGAAAGATGTTTCTTGTGGGAGATCTCACAGATTGTTCTTCTGGCAAACCCAGCCGGGGGCCAGGAGGGAACAGGTCCGGTGAGTGCGGTCACAGGAACATCTGGCACCGACTCCTGCGCGCCCTCCCCTCGGCTCCAGCCCACTGGAAGCAGCAGAAAGCCGGGCTCACTGCATCCCACGCTGCGTGCAGCGTGCTGGGGGAGGCAGTCACCTTGGCCAGATCACCATGTCCCCGCACTGGGCAGGTCTCAAGCCGACTTTTGCTGAGGTTTCTGCTGCCAGGCAGTTTCCCAAGTGTGCCTGCCTCTGTTGTGCCAAATCAAGAGGGATAAAACAGCACAGGGCAGCAGCTTAAAGAGGTGAAATAAAGGAACGATGTATTTAGTGCTGCTCTGATGCTTCAAGAGCACAGATCCTGTAACACCACTGAAGTCACCATGGACTGGAGGCATCTCCAAGTGATAAAAAAGGAAATCTTATGCTTCTAACACACAAATCTTCAAGTTATCTCGAACCAGGAAAATGTTTCACTGCCTGTCCATTCCAGAATCAACACAGCTATTTACTACAGTATGACAAAAGTCACTAACCGGTGCTGTATATCTGGCCGATAAAAATAGTCAATGGGAGTGTCCAGACGTGAGAAAATCGGTGGCGGGATGTAGAGCGGTAATTCTTGATTGAAAAATTCTTCCTTCTCTGGTTTGAGCATTAGGACTTTGTCATACATGGAGGTTGGTTTGCCATCAGGACCAGAGTGCATCGCCAGGTACTGGAAATCAGACATTCCTGTGAGAAAGGAAAGTTCAAACATTGTGAAGTTCATTGTGAGTATCACAACATTTCTCAAAACACTCAACTTTAAGGAGCAGGTGTCTGCTAAGTTCATGCAAAGGTTTATACAGCAAGGGGGCTGAAACAAAGGAGACCTGATTTGTTCTTCCAGTTCCGAATTATTTAAAGGAAAACACTTCCCTTTCCCATCAGGCACACTCACCTTTAAGCCACGTAGACAGAAATCCAAGTATTACCTTGAAATTTGTAAACGGTGGTGACAGTCCCAAGAATTTCCATTTCAAACTGGACTTCTGGCTGGATTTCTTCTTCGGTGTCTGACGGCTTCTTCTTCTTGGTCCTCCTCTTCACCCTGAGCAGCATGGTGGAGGTGGGGAAGCGATTGGCACACACGGGATGGCAGTACGGGTCCTTGGGGCGGAAATACAGCTCCAGCCTTTTGGCGGGGTCGGCGTAGATCTGTTCCCAAGAATTTCCATTTCAAACTGGACTTCTGGCTGGATTTCTTCTTCGGTGTCTGACGGCTTCTTCTTCTTGGTCCTCCTCTTCACCCTGAGCAGCATGGTGGAGGTGGGGAAGCGATTGGCACACACGGGATGGCAGTACGGGTCCTTGGGGCGGAAATACAGCTCCAGCCTTTTGGCGGGGTCGGCGTAGATCTGTCAGCGAGGGCAGGCACAGCCCCGGTGAG